CTGGGAGCTTTGAGTCGGAACCGCCGGTGAACTTGGGCGCCACGTTCCGGGTGACGGACCCCCCGAGGATGGTGAACACGAGCTGCTGCTGACCCTGCCTCTGCCGCTCCTTCTCCCGGCTGCCGAGCGCCTGGGCCCCCTTTCTCCTCCCGGTGCCCAGCCGTGGGTGAACCTGCAGGCTCCTAACCCACCCGGAGGACTTTTTTTTGAAAGGAAACGAGGGAGGGAGGGAGAGGGAAAGAGGGAGAAAAAGAAGGGGAGCTCGTCCATCCATTGAAGCACAGTTCACTATGATCTTACTCACATTCAGCACTGGAAGACGGTCGGATTTCGTGCATCTTTCGGGGGTGTTTTTCTTGCAAACCTTGATTTGGATTTTATGTGCTACAGTCTGCGGAACGGAGCAGTATTTCAATGTGGAGGTAAGAGTACAAGGGCTTCTTCCTCTTCCCCTGCCTGGACTGATCCCTGAAACATTTCCTTCACTCTTCGGATCCTTGTAGCTCAGAGCAGCCAGGTCTCAACATTGTTTCCCTTGTAGCCGCTGAAACCCTTGTTGAGTTTCCCTGTGCCTTAGGTGATGGATGCATGTGAGACCCAGAATCCGTTATCCCCAGCAGCACAAAGCACGATGCTGCACGCTCAAAGACACAATCATAACCGGTCCATGCTTCTTACCCGGGGAAGAGGTGAAGCCCTACTTATAGCAAACGTGTGGCTTAACAAGGAAGCTTGAGTTTATGATGGATAAACAGCTCAGCTCGGGAAACAAAATTGATTGCTTGGCATCCTGTGCTGCCTTGGTATTGTTCCTGAAACCTTCCTCCCCTTGGTTGGTGCCTAACAAAGGAGGTTAAAAATAAAAGAATCTAAAGGAGAACGTGGGAATACTTGATATGTTTAATAACATTACTTTGTGATAAAACACTTGAGTAGACAGAGTCTTTTTCTCATTTAAACAAAACTTAATACACTGTAACTAGATCTGGCTGCACAGAGGACGTGAAATCCATCTCTTTTGAAGTGTCTTCTCTCCCCCTCCCCCGCCAATTGAAAATAAACGTGGCCCCATGTAATAGTTCTGAGGTGTGTTTTAAATTTGATTTCACACTCTCATGGCAAAAACGGAGAGGTCTTAGACTGTCATCTGTTTTACTGTGATAGCTTTGGGAACAGAAGGCACAAAGCAAAAGGGAACTTAAGGATAAGGACTTGTCAGACCTCTGCCAAAGTACTCTTCCTGTCATCAACTCAGCACTAAGCCAGCCAGCAACGTGCAATAAATCATTGGGAACGTGAACACACCTGGGCTGTGACACAAATTTATTACATGTTCGGTAGGATGCAAAGCCAGCAAGGGGGTTTTAGTAAAATTTCCTCTGTTTGATTAGATCTGATACCTTCTGACTTTCCAAAGAATTATGGTTAAATCTACAAGGAATAATGTGATTTTCCCTTATATTGTTGATATAATAAAGCTTCCTGTCATTTTGTTGGAAGCATGTGTTTACACAATAGCAGGACCTGTTGCACAGTATTTGAACATGCTTCATGTAACCGATTTATACACAAAGTGTGCATAATAAATGCCAGGTGTGGAGGCACATTCTGAATATAACTATGTTTATATAAACTGTTCTTAGGACTCCACATAATAAGTGATAGTACAGAAACAAAGTATTTTAAAGAGTAATAGCCATTATAAATTAGTTAAATTTGCAGATGTTAAGCATCAGTATATTCCACAAAAATACAAATTTGAAAACTAAGATTTTTAACCCTTTGAGAAGCTGTGTTTTTTGTTTTGTTTTTCATTAAAAAAAAAGAGAGAGAGAGAGAGAGAGAAAGAGAAATGGAAAAGGGCTGAAAGTCCAAACTTTTCTTGATGACAGATTTGAACTTTTGGAGTTGTGTGATACAAATGGATTTTTGTACCTAACATTTAAACCAAGAGTTTAATGTTGAAGTGAAATAATTAGTTCATAGAATGGAGGAATGAGAATGGCGATTTGTTATTTATGATTTAGAAACAGAAGGGCCTATTGTCAGATTGGTGGTGCTGGAGATAGTGGTGAGGTGGGGCTTGGGAGAGGTGGTTACAACTTAAGTGCTAGGTTATGTCTTGCTCACTATGGGAAGGAAAGGAGAGATGGATGTCTACCTGCCCTGGCAAAGTCTTTGATTTGCTTTTGAGATTGGAATAACATCATTGTCTTAATTATCATTAGGTTTCCTTAGTGAGGCTAAACATAGATTGAGTTTCTTTGTATTGGAATCCTCAATCAGATATTATTATACAAAAAAGTTATGTTACTAAAAATGACAGTTTTTAATTCCAGCTATATCTTCCTTTTCAAGATGCATGTGAAAAAAAAATAGTTCATGGAGAAGAGTTATTTTCCCATTTTAAAGTATTTTTGTTATTTCACCCATGTTTATTACAAATGCAAAGATTTAAGGAATGACAGATAAGATTCATGTGCCCTCTGGGACCTTAAAAAGCTTACTTGACACAAAGGGAGTATTCTAATGATTTATGGGTGATTATGTTTCATAGTTTGTATTATTCCCAAGTAGTTTTTTAAGCTCTTGGGCACTTCCTTGGTTGGATTGATAAGCTTTTGTGTGTATGTTGATAATCTTTTTTCCATTATTAAAATAGCTACTAGAAAAATACAAATATTATAAAGAACATAGGATGACAGGAGGTTTTCTGATATGAGTTTCTGCCTGATTCACTTTTATTAGATGTTTCTTTTTGGTGGAAAACACAAATGGAGAGAATATTCCATTACTTCCTCTCCATAAGAGGCACTTATATGTGTTCCTCATTCTTGGATGCAAAACATACACAGTAGGAATGCTGTATTTGATTGATTCTCAAGGACAGTCTTAAAATAAACAGTAACGGTATCAATCATGCATGAAGTCCATATGATCATAATTTTTTTCTGGTAAGTACACCAAGTTATTATAGTTGGAACAAAGCTTCAGAGAGAGGCTTTTTATGCTGACTGCTAAGATTATAGTGCTTTATTCATCCCTCAACTTAACAATTTGTGGTACCCCCATACTTCTCATCTCTATGATTTAGGGTTTAACCCTGTATTTTCCCCTTGGGGGCATTATATAGAGGTATTCATGTTAACACTTTCCTGTCTGATTTTTTAAAAAATTTTAAATTTTTTTCAGTTATCAGAGTGGGAGAAAAATGTTGATATGCTTATGAAAGCCTGTTATAGAGAAAGAGGATATTTGGATTCTTTGTGTTTTTTAAAAAAACAAAAAGGAACATTTCTAACAGCAGAAAGGGTTAAAGTAGTACTTTAGAACATATTCATTCATTTCTCTACCTGTATTTTAAGTGGAAACCTCTTTAAGCATTAAGTTTTCAGTATATATTTATGTAGATAAATGTTTTTATATATCACTGGACTCCTTTTTTTTTGGAAGTGATTCTTCCAATGTGTTATTATTAGCATGATGCAAGGGAGTTATATTGCTAATATTAACTAAAAGTCAAAAACTGCTGTCATTGGACAGCAGTCTGATTAGAGGTATTCATTGGTCAGAAGCAGCTAAATTATTAACAAAGAACTACAAATCATTTTATCTCTAGAATATTTACTTTGCACTGGGGATTTTCATGATTCTGGGATTTTTTTTGGATACTGCAAATGTTTTTGTCATGAATATGTCATAATAATAGTAACAACTGCCATCAACTTTGATAGTTTGTCTAACGTTCACTCTGAGAACAACATTGAACATTATTGATTTTTAAACAATAGCACACATTTACAGTGAGGAAAATTATTTAATGTCTAATTAGTGATTGAAATGAAAACAGGTGAAAACCTGGATGAGGCATGTATCAAAGTATGAAGTTGGTAATGCTGTGCGACAAAAGAATCTTGATGAAGTAAAAGTTGATTGTGTTGTTCCTAATTAAATGAAGAAGAGAGATTGTGGATTCCAAATGGATCTTTTATGAAATATAATATGAATTGTGAGTGTAACCATCTCATATTTTTTTCTTAAAATATGTTTTAATAACTGATTAGGATTTTTTGGCTTTCTTCAGGTTTCTCTGAATCTACCCAGAAGATCAGAGCTTGCTTGTTTGGGGTATAGCTTTGTATTGCACATAAACTTGGCAATAATTGATCATGTGATATTTCAGAGATAAAAATATATTTTACAGATTTTAAAATGTGTTATATTGAGACACTATTTTATCTTATCACTTGCTCTCTACTTGCTTAAAAATATCATTATTTAAGAATGGGGATGTACCTCTGTGATAGTGCTCTTGCCTAGCTTGTGCAAAGCCCTGGGGTTCAATCACCAGACTGCAAAAAGATAAAAGAAAAAAAAAAAAGCTTTATTTTATTTGCTCATGGAAATATGGTAACACCATACCTCTTTCTGTCTCAGGGACTTTCCTGACTGATACCCTCAATTCTCCACTGTAGCCCTTATTTACTGATCGACAACAGGAGCTGTGTGACTAATTCATAAAGGTTCTTATCTGCAGAAAGACTGCAGGCTTAACAAAACATCCCAACTATGCTGAAAGTTTAAAATGTTTTTAAGGGCCAAAAATTATAGCATATGCATCAGATGTCTTGATGGTCCTGAGATTTTCCAGCTTCTCCTGCATCCCCCTCTTGGCCATGCCTTTGTCTATTCAGAGTTGCCTAGACAGGTCTTACCAGATCTAGAGTTATTCAGGAAACCTTTGCAGGTGCACATATGCTGGTAAGGTACATTTCTCCAGTGATCAACCCCCACCACCTGCCCTGGAAAAATCCACAGAAAACACAGGTCAAGTATGTTCCCCTCTCTATATAGCTGGCTCTTCTTTTTGTTTCTTTTCCCCAGCAAGTAAGGATCAAGTTGGGTTCAATGCAGCTTTCCTATCTCTGAAGCCAAGTTAAAAGTGGTAGATCTAAAGTTACTATGTTTTCTTATTTATGATATTTAGTTATTAACACAAGAAACATTTAATGTACTTGTTTAGCGACATAACTATTTTCTCTAAAGCTGGATTATTCAATTACTGAATATTCGTTTTCCTCACTGACCTACCCCAACTATTCAAAATGTACCTGTTTTAGGACATTTGATAGATGATGATTTGGAATTTTTTCAGAACAACAACAATAACAACAACAAAATCCATGGGATGTTTGAATCAATGAGTCAAAATTTATTCACTGTTAGAAGAGAAAGATTTATTTTTTCATGCTCCTTTGGAAACTTTCTGACCCTTCAGCATGTGTGTTTCAAATGGAGAAAATTATTTTTCATTTAACTTTTCCATTTCAATTTAAGTATCTGTGAATGAAATTATATACATCAGTTTCTTTTTCACTGTGAGACGTGTAGTGATAAAGAGTACATTCTAGAAACGAGACTG